GCCTCCTAGTAATCAGGTTAACAGTTTTAACGGGAATTTTAAACTGTTAATTAGCAAACTCATTAGGCAATAATCTCCCCTTCTCTAAAAGCATACAAACTCACTACTTTTTTATTCCCACGGTCGTTGGTTTCAAATTCCAATTCTACTTCACAAATATTCTGATAATCAGTAATTAAATCCTCTCAGCCACTTTTTACTGCTTTTGGGAAGCAAAAATAAGCATTATTGGTGTCTTTATCGATAATGAGATAGTAGATTTTTTTGTTTGTGCCTTGTTTTTCTTGGATAGTGATATTTTTTAGGTTTAGGGTTGGCATATGTTATTTTTTTGTTGTCATTTTTTTTCTGAATATTAGAAAATTTTCTTAAAGTTGAGGTTTTTGAATTAATTAATATGTAAAATATAATTAAAGGATAAAAGAACACAAAAATATGAAACATCATGGTAAACAAACTATTCATAAAATATCAAGTATTCCAGTGCCGCTAAGGCACAAAGAATTAGGAGAAATAGCAGGCAAAAAGCCATAATAAGTTAGTGATTTAATAAATCGCCTTCTCCCTTTCGCACTAGTAGCCTTGCAAAGACTAGTAGCGACTTTCCCCGGAAGTAAAATGAGGGTAAAGAATATTCTAATTGGATTTCTTACCAATTGCCACTGATTAGAGTAATTTATTAAAAAGCAATTGGTATAAAAAATTAGCAAAAACTGTTTAGTAAAAATACATTCTAAAAATAACAAAATAAAGTAAAAATAATATGGCAAAATTTTGATGCATTACTTGTAAAGACGAAGTAGAACACCGGGCTGATTATTGTCATTCGAGGTGTGGAAATGATTGCGATCAAGTTTGTAGTAGATGTAATAGAAGAACTCTCACTACCAAAGTGGCTAATCGACATGATAATAATACAGCTGCACTCAGGTGAGCAACTGGTGAAGCTCAACGACAAGCGAAGTTAACTGGTAAAACCGGAGAAATAGAGGTCGCAGTGCCGAGTTTAGATGCTAGTGGTTTTCCTTGTGATCGCACTGCTTATTACAATACTCAAACTGAGAGTGCTGGATTTCGAACATAGTAATACAAAAATATTAAGTGTATAAATAGTAAAAATTTTATAAAATAAATATGGTAAATAATAATGAAATAAAAATAAAAATAGGTTCTGATGGTCGTTTTATCTATGATAAGTTTCCTGAGAAAGAATATAAACTTGTTAAGGTAAATTTTGCTACCGGTGATCAATTTACAAAAATTGCTTTTCTTCGTTCGAAAGATGGAACAGGTACGGTTACTCCTGAACAGGTAAAGAAATTTTATGATGAGGCAGAAGAAGAATCCTTGGAGTGGTGAAAAAACCATCCTGGCGAGCCGGTTACTATCAAAGTCTTAGAAGGAGAAGATGGCAAGCAAACCCAGATTATTGAAACCGTTCCTAAGAAAGATTTGATTTGTCCTAGTGACTTCCGAGTTAGAATATATGACCCCAAGACTGGTGAGCAAATTGTTGGTGAGGAAAATATAAGAAAAGAAATTGAAAGAAGAACAGAGCAATGAAAACAATGAAAAGAAGAAGGCAAATTAGAAGTAGTTAATCATCAAATTCATCATACCGATGATGGAAATACTATTTCGGTTCGCACTACGCTTCCTCCTGTTAAGGCACTTCATGAAAACGAAATTAATGATGAAACAAAATGAATTCCGCTTGTTGGACTTGAGGGCAAGAAAATAGAAAGTGGTGAAGGAGATCAACAAAAGAGTAGTCAAGAAAGTCAACAAACTGGTGAAAATAAAATAAGCGAAGAAAGTAGTAAAGAGGAAAGTGTCCGAAGGGAAAATGTTGAAAACGCAAGCATAGTTGGGAAGATTAAAAAAAATATAAATGAGTGAAGTGTCAAAAAAATTGATTTCACTTTAAGTAATGGAGTTGAGGGAAGTCAAGCTTGTTTGGTTCATAGTTCAGCCAACGTAAATATTAGTGAGTTGGGAACTCTGATTTATCCCGTGGAAATATTTACTGATAGTGAAAGGAAAGAACTTTCTGAGGTGTTAAATGATTCATTGTTGGTTAATTTTATATCCTCTGGAAAGATTGAAAAATTAGGTTCAGATAAGAGTAATTATCATAGTGTTTCGTTGTCGGATGATTCGACATCCATTAATGATACTCAATCAACTAATAAGGGAGAAAATAATTTGATAGTTTTTGGGGTAATTTTCGTTTTGATGGTTGCTGGTTTAGCATTCGTAAAAAGTAAATTCAGTAAGAATAAGAAAAAATAAAGATTATGGCAAAATTTTGATGTATTAACTGCCAAGCAGAACAAGAACATCTCTATTTTTATGGTCAAGAGCCATGCTGTGAGGGTGAAAATTGTGAGCATAAGTGTAGGAGAATGAATACTTTGGCTTATATTCAGTCTAGTCTAAGTCATAGTGAAATAGAAGTAATTAAGTAGATGACCGGCGAAGCTCAAAGAATAGTAATAAGCACTGGTCGAAGGGGAGATATAAAAGTATCAAGAACAGTCAGCAATGCCAACGGCGAAACACAAGCACAAACTTTAGTTTATAATACCCACACTCGCCTTTGTCATTTTGGTAGGAAATAAGCCAGAATAAGTTCTCAAAATTTTGGAAGTCCTTCATTGGGCTTCCTGCTTCCCCTATAAAAAAACGTTAACATGCCAGAGCAAACAAAAGAAAAACCAACCATAATCCAATTAGATGAAAACCAATATAAGCACTTATTAATTGCTCTGGGTAATATCATCCGTGAATTGAATTCTATTGCTTTTAAAGTAAAGGAGTTAGAGAATGGAATGAAATTAATCGAGGGCGAATTAAGGTTGCTAAGAATAGAGGTTGCCGAAAAAAAATCAATTAAAAAAAAGCAACATTAATATTAAAAAATCAAAAAACGAATTAATAAATAATAAATTTAAAACTAATATGGTAGACTGAAGAACATATAAAATAACTAGTAAAAGTGCAAGTTCAAATTACATTCTTTTTCATTTAGATAACTATGTAAATTATAGTAATAGTAGTAATAATTACAAACATATTTACTGTTCAAATAGCAGTCCCTTTTGTGATTGACGTGAAAGTGATTTTATAGAGATCGATAATGATGTGTCTCGTCACAGGAACAGTGGTTATTATTTTGGTAACATCTGTGAAGTAAGAATTAATTGCCGTTATGTATGTGGTCATTCACATAAAGAATATGATGATATGAGAGATAAGTATAATGCATTAGAAAGAGAGCGTAATGATTTGCGTACTGATCGGGACAATTGGAGAAAAAAACATGATGAATTAAAGGATAAATTGAATGATGAAAAATTAAAAAATGCTAATGAAATGGCTAGTGAAAAATTAAGTCGACAAAGCACAGAGTCAACATTAAGAAACGAAAAAAAGTTAGTTGAGGAAAAATTGGAAACTTTTAAAACTGAGAAAGTAGGTCTTCTGAAACAAATCGAAGACGGAAAGCAAGAACTAGGTTTGGTTCGTGTTGAGAAAGATAAACAGTTAGCATTAATAGAAAACAAATTAACTCAAAAGGATGATAAGTTAAAAGAATTGGAAAAGGCAATGGATGCTTTGCGAGTGGGTAGTGAAAAGGTGATTAGTCAAAAGGAGAATTCTTTAAAGGAGACGAGCGGTGAATTGAAAAGGAAGGAACAAAAGATTAAAGAGTTACAAAACGAAAGATTTAGAACACAAGAAGAATTGTTAATTGAAAAATTAAATTCAGAGAAGAGTGATTTAGAAGTTGTTGCTAGTGAATTAGGAATTAATTTGGAAGACGTTCATAATTTAATTATGAATTATAAAAGATTATTATTTGCTCGCAAAGAGCGTAAACGGGATATTGTTGAAGACAGCGAGGGAAAAATTGCCAAAACTAAGCAAACTTTATTGGGTTCAGAAGTTAGTATAGAAAATATTCGAAAAATTAGTCGGGAATGTGAAAGGCTTGCTAATTTGAGTTGAGATTTAGAGCAAATTCAACAACAATACGAAGCAAGGCAAGAAGTGCCAACAAATCGTTAAACATTATGGCAAAAAAATATTATGAAATATTAGGGGTTAGCGAAACCGCAACCCCTGAGGAAATAAAAAATGCTTATCGTAAGTTAGCCTTAAAATGGCATCCGGATAAGTGGATAAATAAAGGTTCAGAAGAAAAAGAGGAAGCCGGTAAAAAGATGCAGGAGATAAATAAGGTCTATGAAGTTTTAGGGAATGAAGAATTAAGAAAAAGGTATGATTTAGGAGAAACTGAATTTACTTCTGATTATGGTGGTTATGACTACGAAGCAGAAATTAAAGCGGAGGTCAGAAGAAGAGAAGAAGAATTAAGAAAAAAAGAAGTGGAGGAAGTAGATCTTAAATTGAAAATTCTTAAATTGGAAATGAAAGCTTTGGATCGTTCCTCTGCTCTTAATGAAATTGGAGCAGTTTTTTGTTTTACTTTGCCACGGGTTCGTGCGGAAGATTTAGACCCAACGCTCTGACAACCTTACCAAAGTTGGGGAGAAAAAGTAGTAAAAATGGAAATTACTATTCCCAAAGGTAAGGATAGAAGTGAAGAATTAAAAAATTTCAAAGAGGAAATGGTTAAGGCTATCAAAGAGGCTGAAGTTATGCTTAGGATTAGGGAAGAGAACGAGAAAAAAAATGAAAATAATTCCGAGTTAGAGCAAGCCAGAACTGTTGCTTTCCAGGAAATAGAAAAGTCGATGAATGAAAGAGGTTTAAAAGTCAAGGATTTAGGGCAGTATTCTAATTATCAGGAAAGAATTAGCAGTTTGGGTGAAGTGTGGGAAATTCGTAATTTTCGGGAGGAGGTTTTGGGCTTTGTTTCAAAATTTACTAGGGAAGAGTCCAAACCAAAAAGAGAAGATAATTATCGTTGACCGAATAATCCTTATCCGCCAAGAGAGCAACCTAGTTATCGGTTCCCTAATAACCCCAATTTTCTCAGTGAACATCCTAGACCAAGAGAGAATCCTAATTGTCCACCTTGGTCAAATCCCAATCCGAGATTTCCGGATAGGCCTGACTTTCTGAGAACAGATCCAGGAAGAGTCCCTGATAGGCGGGATGAGCCAGGAGGTAGGATTGAGGGAGACAAAACGGATAATTTTTTAAGCGGAATTTGGGATAGTAAATATGATAATTGAACTCGCCAAGAGTTAGTTGATGAAATTAAACGAGAACAATTAAATAATGCTTCTTTGCTCAAAAGGGTTTCTGGTTTAGAAAACAAAATTAAGGAACTAACACTAAAAAATGTACCTCCAATTACCTCTGAATTAATTCAGAAAGTCCAACAAAATCCCCAAGATTGAAGCATCAAGGAAATAATAACCTTTAAAAAATATTTTAATAGCATCAAAAAAATAGCATTAGTTCACAAGAACGCTAATTTAAGAAATTATGATTGATGAGGTAATTTGAAAATTAACCCTCAACTCATATATTTTGCGGAAGAGCATCAAGGAAAATGATTTCAAATCAAACAAGTTTTAAACGAGTTTCAGCAAGTTCGACGACAGGAAAGAATTAATAGAATTAAACAAAACATAAGCCAATGGAATTGACGAGAAGTAGTAACGGTTTATAGCATTTGTGCTGGTAAGTGAATAGAGAAAGAAAAATCAATAATGTTAGTTCGCCAAGATGTCAAAGGTAGTTATGACAATAATGGACAGTTAGTAATTGACCCTGAAAGGATGCTTTTTTGAGACAAGTTTAGTTCAGTAGAGCAAGCCGAAATTCAGCAGGCTTGAACTGATTTCCAAGTAAGTATTCAACAGTCAACTTCAACACCACAACACCAATTTTATAAACAAAATATTTCATTTTCACAATTAGGTGCTAATCCTAATAAAGGAATTAGCACCAGCAAAATCCTCGGTATTCTAGGAATAATTAGTATCCTAACAATTAGTGGTAGAATGATAGCGAAAAAGAGTTTAAGAAAGAAGGCTAAAAAATAAGTTTTCCAGAGTTCAGAGCAAAGGATTATAAAAAATAAAGGGGAACCTTCCGGTTCCCCCTAATAATTGAACCTCAATCTAATTATTAGCCTAATACCGCTATCTAACTACCGCATACTTACTGCTCTGATTGTGTTAGAGAATAAGCACCAAAAAAATACATATAACCGGATATATACAAAAATTATATTATGGAACAACTAATAATTATTCGCTCGGTAATGAAGCCCCGTGATTATAGCACGCTTCATTCTAAAAGAAGAACGAGGAGAAAAAATTAATCCCAATATTTTTAAATTAGAAAATAGCAAAAGTATCCAAGATTATTTAGAAAAAGAAAAGATTACTTATGAGATTTACGAAAAGAAAGGAAAAAGATTAGATGAATTTACTCAGACATTGGGAGTTAGTCGTAGAATACCTCGTGAGTTGCGTAAAGCCTATCGGCGGTTAATTGAGGCTCGTGAAGACTACAATAGAAATAATATTGCTGCGGCAGAGGATGATATTGAAGTGATTAAAGATGAATTGCTAGAAGGAGATAGAAGGTTAAGAACGGAAGATGTTCAAAAACTTTGTAGTAAATGCCAAAAGTTTGCTAATCTAAAAATAGAACAAGGCAAAATTTGAGAATGAAAATGACAACAACAATATCAGGCTCACCAAGAACAGCCAACCAATAATTTTTAAAAATACAATGCTATGGTAAACATCCAACAATATCTAAACCAAATAACCAATAAAGAAAAATTAACCACCCTAGATTTAAGCAAAAAAAACTTATCAGGCGAAGCCAACTTATCAGAATTTACCAATTTAATAAGCATCCGTGCTGGTGGCAATCAATTTACTAATTGTGACTGATTATCTACTATCCTTGATGCTAGTAGAAAAAAACTAAAATGATTAAATTTTGTGGATAATCAAATAGAAAAATAAACGATGATATTTTCGATTAAACGAAGATAAGAAAAAGTAAATTGGTCGGAATTGTTGACTAATTTCCCTAATTTAGTATTCATAAATTTAGAGAATAATCCTTTAAATGGTGAAAATTTAAAAGATTTAGATAATCAGCAATTAAACCAGTTAATTAGTTTAGTAGAAAGTGAAAGGTTAAAAATTAACTCCCAAACAGGAACTTTGCTGGTTGATATTTTAAAATACGTCCAGCAATTAAAAGAGGAAAATACTGAATTAAAACAACAATTACAAGCCCAAGCAGAGATTGCTCCGAAGTAGGCAAAAGTCTCTTTTTGTATTAGCAAAAAACAAATCCTAAAATTACAACATGCTTAAATCCATTTCAAAACTTCCCTTTCTCCTCCTAACAAGGCAAAAGACATTCATTCAGCAAACAATCGCAAGAAAATTAACAATTACTCCCCCTCTCCCGCAGGAAAAGAGAAAACAAAACAATTCTAATTCTCAGAAAAAAACTGAGAACAAAAGAAAAACTTTTCAAGAAGCAAAAAGGAAAATTTACTATAAATTTCTCTGTAAATGCGGAACAGGATTTAATGATTTTCCGGAGTTTCTGAACCATATAAAAACTTCACACAAAATCGAAAACTTGAAATTTCAAGAAATCTTGGCTAAAAAGAATGGATTTGAACGAGGAATTAAATTTTATTGAAGTTTATCTTGCCAGTGCGGTCATAAATTTTCTTCCTCCTTGTGTAATGCTGATTTGAAAGCCAACGAGGGGCAAATAGAAATATTAAAAAAACACCGTCTACAATGTTTAAAATGTAAAAAATACGCCAAATTTGATGTGGAAACACTACTAGACAAGTTTCTAAAAGAAAGGTTTAAGCAGAAACTAATTTACAATTTTTATAAAAAAGAGTTTGCTGAATTTGATAATGAAAGAGATAGTGAAAAAGTGCTAGAAGGTCATAGAGAAGAACTTTGTGAAAAATGTAAATTATTAGGTAGACATTGCGGTAGTGAATTAGATCAACAAGAACAGATTAGTCAGATCGGTTATGTTCCACCATTTAGGAAATGGTAAATGGATTTTAGTTGAATTTCTTTGCTATTGCTGAACTTCATTATTAATAAAATCATGCTAAATTTCCTCACAAAACTATTTAACAAAAATAAGCAAACAACAAAAGAAAGTAACGCTAAAACAAACAAAGATAAACAACTTTCTGATAAAAAAGAAAAATATCTAAAAAATTATCCTCTACATTACGCAGTTTCCCGAGGTGATCTAGACAAAACAAAAGAGATTTTACAGAGCAAAACAGTCGAAATTGAATCCAGAGACCACAATGATTTTACTCCTTTACATATTGCGGCTGGACAAGAAAAATACGACCTAGTCATTGAACTTCTAAAACATGGTGCTGACCCAAATGCACATGATGATGAGGGTAGCACCCCCCTCCATTTTGCTGCCGAAGGAAATAATTTGAGACTCCTCAAATGCTTAGTGAAAAATAAGTATGGAAGTAAAAAGGGGGATATTAATACGGTTAATATTTGCAACTGATCTATACTACACAGTGTATCTTCCGGAATAGTTAATGAAGGTGGAGATTGAGAAATCATGGAATGAATGTTAAAAAAAGTAGATCCTGATTCTCGGGAGGCAAGCCAAGGAAAAATTAAGAACATTTTGCGGGAACGCGGTTCTTCTTATGTTGCCCGGTATGAAAAATTACTAGAAAGAGTTCAGCAAGAGGAAAATTTTAATCAACAGTCCATATTGCCAGAAGAAGCAATTGAGTCAGTAAATCAAGGAGATATTGATTCCTTAACCAAAATCCTGACTGCCCGACCGGAAATAATTAACCATAAAGATGAAGACAATAACTCTCTTTTACATTACGCTGTGATAAAAGACAAAAAAGAGATAGTTAAATTGTTGCTGGAAAAGGGAATTAATATAGAAAGTAGAGATTACTTTGCTAGTACTCCTTTACATATAACTGCCCGCAATGCTAATTTAGAGTTGGCCAAGTTATTGGTGGAAAGTGGGGCTAATGTTAAAGTAATTGACAAGTTTAACAATACTGTCCTTCACAACGCTGCCGCAGGAATAACTGAGGATGGAAATAAAGAGGATTGAGAATTAATTGAATACTTTTTGAAAAAGGGTGTCCCTACCGAAATAGTTACTGAAGGAGGCTATTCTGTAAGTGATGTTTTTCGCCTTAGGGATGGTTCTTATGCGGACATTTATGAGAAGATAAAGGAAAGAATTAGCGAAACAGGAACTAAAAAGGAAAAAAACGCGGAGGAAAAAAAGAAATTAGAGGAAGAAATAAAAAAAGACCTCAATTCTCTACTGCCCGAGGAAGGAAGTGTTGATTATGAACTAATAAAGTCTTTACTTGAAACAATGGCTCTAAATCAAAAGCAATTAGTCAAAAGTTATGATGAATTAACAAGAGCAAATCTCAATCTCATTAAGGAACTGGCCTTTAGCAAAAACCTCGAAAAAGAAAAAATAGAAAATTTTTGCCAAAAAGTCGCCCAATTGGCTGAGATTGCCTTAAAAGAAAATAACATAGAGTTTGTTGAAGAGCAAGGGAAGGTTAAGTTTAATTAAGATAACCAAACAATAATCTAGCAACTAGAAAGGGAAAGTTAAAGTAAAGTTTTTTAGTTAACCACCAAAATTCTTTCTAATGGCTGACTAGGAAAAACTTTTTTTACTTGAAAATCAAAAATTATTTGGTCATATAAAGGAACCGGTCT